TATTATTCTATTAAAAGTTTATTATTGACGGAAAATTGTAATAATTTATTGGAATTTTATTATTATTGAAAAATTTTATTATTTTGTTGGAATTATATTATTATAATTATTGTGATTATTATTATTATTATTATTAAAAATTCTAGTAGAAATTACAGAAAAATTTTTTTTCGATGGCATAATAATGAGTTGTAACAAAAAAAAATAAAAAAAAAGGTTAAAAAGTAAAAAAATGAAATCGCTAAAAATAATATAATCGGAAGCATTTAATACGGGCGGTGTTAGAGGCTTGGGTCAGCACATGGCTAAAATTAGAATATTGCTTGCGTATCTAAGTATCTGCGTATTTCCACACCTAAATACATTTATACATTTATAAGAGCTATAGAGTTGGATTTCTTGGCCGGCGGGCCAACCATCAGAAAATCTTACTCTTCTTGCTCTTCACATTTTATAATTTTACATATTTTTTTATATTTTGTATTTTACAATTTTATTTTCTGCTGAATATCCATAGACTCTATTTTTGTTTCCCGCAGAAAAATATATAAATATATAGATATATTTATAAATTTCCAACAAACAAGTTTGTAAATCAATGGGTAATTTTAAATGTAATTAATGAAATGATAGACTTGCAGCGATCTTGTAATATATATAAATACTTTCCCTTAAAAGGTATACTTCACGTTTTATAACCTTATCAGATTAATTCGTTCCTTTTTTTTTAAATAAATTATTTGGTACAATTTTATTATTATTATTATTTAAAAAAAATAATAATCATAATAATAATATTTTTTTACAAATTAAAAATCGTTAGATAGTAGCTTATAATTTCGGCTAGAGTAATTAAAATCTAAATAAAAATAATGATTTTAATAATAATTATAATATTAACTTAGAATTCTAATATAATTGTTATTTTCTTTATTAAACATTTTATAAAAAAAATACATGTATATAACTTTATGTAATATGATAAAAACTTGTACAATTTTTTACAAATTTTTTCAATTTCATGTAATTTAATTCATTTAATTCAATCCCTTCCCTCGCGGTTTTGAGAATACCGTAAAAATACCGTAATTTTTTGGCATTTATGCTCATGCCGTATATTTACCGTAATAATGCGGTTAAACTATAGTTGTTTTGGCCAGTTTTTATACTGTAAATATCCAGTATATATACTGCACTTATGCTGTACAGTTACCAAAAATATACTATACAATTACCACATTAATGCCCAAATTTTATCCAAAAAATTTCAAATAATTACCGTAATAATACAGTAATTTTGCCGAATATTTTCTGACATAATGGAAAATTATTAAAAATTTGGTTTTATTTTTAGTTCACTTCTATGTTAGAAATAAATAAAATGAAAAATTTCCAATTTTGCTTTTTATTCTCCATCGCTACTTTGCAAAAACAAATACTGTTTTTGAATAAATACTATGTAGAATATTATTTTTTAATTAGGTATTTAGCGGTAATGAATATTAAGAAATACATATGAGGAGCTTATTTTCAAAAGGGTATCTTTTGATTTTTGATTAATCGAGACAAAAAACTAGTTATCTTCAATTATAAATATTTGTATTGAACTTTTTTTAATTTAGCTATAAAGTGCAATCGGTTATGAAGCTGCAATTCGATTTTCATTTATAAATTTTCATAATTTTCAAAGTAATTAGTATTTAAAAGTTCAGAAAAGTGGTATTTTAAAATATGAAAAGATACCCTTTTGAAAATCAGCTCCTCATATGTTAAGTAAATATATTCTAATTTCAATTTCAATTTTTAATTTCTCACTTAGAAAATTGCAAATTTTCTAAAATCGAAAAGTTACATTGTTTCACATATATAACTATATTATTTAATTTTAAATATGCTTATCGTAAGATGGACGGTATGGCTTAATGTATATAGAATAAGCAAAAAAAAATATAGTGCAGGCCGGGTAGCTCAAATGGTAGAGTAGCCGACTTGTCCTCGGGAGGTTCTGAGTTC